AATTGTTATTTATTTATTATATAAAATTATTTAATCAAACTTTATATAATAAAAATTAATTTTTTTTATTTTGATTATATAATAGGAGACAACTATTTCCCATCTCTTATCCCATCCCATCCCATCCGCACACCATGTTACTCGAAATCAAGAAGAAATGATCACTGAACTACTTAGATAATTGGCTATAATAAAAATTAAATTAAAACAACTAAATTAGATAAAAAAAATTAAAATCATAGGTAGATTACATGTATATTTTAAATTTTCAATTCTTAAAAGTACACTTGGTCACAAGTAGTAAAATTGCCATTTTGTACTAAAAAATAATGAAAAAAAAAAAAACTTTCTACCTATATGGTAAACCAATCTAACGATTGGGATCCAATTATCTTAGCGGTAGTAATGAGATTACTGTTACTTGACGGCCCAGATTGTTTCCCACGTTTACGCCCGATTTCACAGAAAGGCGCAGCCTTGACCGTCGACCACCATGTACCGGATGGCAGCTTCCTGACTCTGGGCTCTTAAGGTCAGTGCAGTTACTGAACTTCAACTTCTCCAATCTTCGATATCCCTAATTGTTGATATTTCACGAATTCAATCTCATTATCATCATCGGAATCAGCTTCTGTTCTTGGTTGTTAGATCTATTCTGTTCGTTCAACTGGTGACACTTAATGTTGTTGTTATGATTCAGTCGATCAAATTCCATTTTGTTAGCTGATTTCTTGTCTTTCAGGCAAAAGAAAATGGAACTTGAAATCCTTATGTGGTTCTAAATTGGATTAGACTGGTTCTTAACTCAATTCCATTCGAGATTATGCTTCTGTTTAAGATATGATCTCAGTTTTAATTTATATATAAATTGGAGATTCTAATATTAGAATGAGAAAGAGAAAATCAGGATTAAATACACGGAACATAGTGTGGGTTTTAACTTCATCAAATTAGTGGCTAGTCAGGATGTCCTGTTTTTCCCTTTTCCCTATTAGAATTCTAGTGTCAACGACAGCTTTGTGTTGTAGAATGACATGTTTTAATCTAAATGCAGTGCATTTTCTTATGCTTACATTGCCTGTATTTGCTTTTCCTTGTTGGGACTGGAAGTGTACCAGAATTTTGATTACCTGGACTTATCACGGTGTGGTTACTAGTTAGCTGTACTATACTTTCTGCTAAGTGATGTGATGCTGTTTTGATTGTTTGTTTAAGGGAAATTTTCTTTTGGTTGTCAGTTAACTAGTGGATTTTGTGGCTTGACTGATAAAGCATGAATGAGATACAAACTGAATAAAAAATGTGAATGTAGGATCGTCCATCTGGTGGAATACCTGCAAGTTTTGCAAGTTCAACTTCTGTTTCTGCAAATCATTTGGCCTCTTTAGTGGGCTGGGGGATCAGTCCAAGTCTATACCTCCTCTAGATTTTCCCCTTCCAGATGTTTCCCTCCCACCTACATTGCCTGATTATATTGAGCCTGGTAAAACTAAGATCAGTGCTCTACCAAATGGTGTCAAAATTGTGTCAGAAACATCAGTGGTATGTATGGATGTGCCCTTTCCCTCAGGAATTTCTTTCTCTATTTTTGGCTTTTCTTCTCAAAGGAATTAATTTTCTATTTTATTAAGGAGGCTGTTATTTGATTTATGTTGCCAAACCAGATTCCTGTAGCTTCAATAGGGTTGTCTGTTGATTGTGGTCCAATATATGAGTCACCAATCACGTTTGGGGCCTCACACCTGCTTGAGCATATGGCATTCAAGAGCACAGCAAACCATAGCCATTTACAGGTTGCAAGAGAAGTGGAGGCAAGTGGTGGCAATGTGGAAACCTCATTTTCTAGGGAGCAGATGGGTTACAGATTGGATGCTCTGAAGACTTATGTTCCTGAAAGGGTAGAATTACTTATTGACTGTGTGAGGAATCCAACTTTCTTGGATTGAGAGGTCAATGAACAAGTAAGTTCCATTATAATCTTTGTGTGTCTGTGCCAATTAGTTGCTTGAAATCTTAAATTAAACACTGTTATGGATATGACATTTGATATTATATCTTCTGCAGCTTCAGAAGATGAAAGCTGAAATGGCTGTAGCTTCTGAAAATCCTCAAAATTTGATTATGGAGGCAATTCACTCTGTTGGTTATTCTGGTGCCTTAGCAAATCCTCTTTTAGCTCCAGAATCTACTGTAAATGGATTGAATAGTACAATTCTGGAGGAATTTTTTGCTGTAAGTCCAAGACGTACAGTATGCTATATATTCTAGTGCCTGTCATGTTTTTCTTAAAATGTTTTGGCTACTTCTATGTATCTTTACGTGGTTTCCTCTCAAAATTTTAGGAAAATTTTACTTCTCCTTCCTTGGTATTGGCAACATCTGGTGTTGAAACTGTTGTCAGTTGCAGGACTACTGTTGTCAGATCTTCCTAAAATTCCTCGCCCTGAAGAGCCAAAGTCTGTGTACGATGGAGGTGATTATTGTTGTCAAGCTGGTTCGGGGGTACATACATATACTAAATAATTTGACAAAATTGTGATTTTTATCTTTCTTATTCATCTAAAGCTGATGATTATTTTGCAGGATGCAACTCATTTTGCTATTGCATTTGAACTTCCTGGTGGTTGGCAAAAGGAGAAGGAAGCTATTTGACTGTCTTCCAGGTTCAGTCTTGCTTTTATTTATCAAATCGACATGCCTGTTTATGCCACCCACCTGCCCCCTCCAGTTTCCTTTCTTTCTTTTTTTTCATGAAAATTTGTTTAAGAGTGTGTTATATCATGGGTTTCATGCTTCTGTATCATTTCTTTGTGATTCATGTTTTCTTTTTCTTTTTCATTCTTTTTTTCTTTTTTTAACTATGATTTCAAGAAACAAAATAGTAATAAATCTTATTTACTATAGATACTCTTAAGCATATTTTATCTATAAGCAGTGTGTTTAATGGGCTATCTTTTAGAAGCAGATGTTAATTTGCTTTATTGTTCTTTCAATGTGTAATTCTTCTTAAACATAAGTATATGGGATTGAGGAAAATAAGGACGTCTTGGCAATTAAAATGTCAAGAATGATAATGAAAAGACTTAAATATCCTCAAATGAATCAACACGCAAAGAAGATTCATTAAGGGTATGTGAACAATTTCATAGGCAATCCTGGGACATCCTAATTTTCTGAAGCTGGTTCACATATTTTTTTCACTCATTTGATGAGTAGATCTCCAAGTCTTAGGTGAGTATCCCCAAGCTCAGTCATTTTCAGCATTCAGCAACATCTACAATCATACTGGGATTTTTCTCAACCTGGCTACCACTGTAAGTCATCTATTTAATTCTTCTGTTAATTTTGTAGTCAAGGTAAATTAGTTTCTTGACATGGAATATTGTGTCTGAGTGTTTATGTCAAATGTGCTTAAAGAATGGGAAGTTTACTAACCCAAATATGCTCATGTGGCACAGTGATGTTGAGACATATTGGATTTAGAGGACACTGGGGACAAAAACTCAGGGGAAAAATTTCCCATCATGTTGTTGTCTAACATGGATTCCAGAATAATATCGCTTCCCCTTTCTTCCAATGTATTTGATGAATATGGGAATGGAAACAAAGGAAACATTTCCCTTCTTTGTCTCCAACTCCTGCATCTTAACTTTAAGCCTTGTTCCTAAATTCAACACCAACTCCTCTGAATGCTCACTTCCATCGGCAGCACTGCAGCCATGGTGACTGCCAAATGGGAGGATTGTTTTCATGTATGTCTTCCCCAAGAAATGACCTCAAAGATTGTGGGGTCATCATCTGATCTCTGAACTTGCTTAGTGGCCAGACATCCATGAGAGTGATGATGGGTTTGCCCATAATATCATTATCCTCTGCAATTTGTAAATTTAGTGTGAATTAAATGGTGTACAAGCACAATATCCAAGAAAAATGAAACCCTATACATAATGCCAATTGTAGAATAATTGAACTGGGACACTATTTTGTGGTCCTTGCAAAATTCAGCTTTTCTCAAATTCAATTGCCCTGTTTGGTACAAACTAATTTGTGGGTAGTAAACTTCCTTAAAGATATCTAACAATTGGTAAAAGATAACATCATTTGTGGGTCTATATTTCTTTGCTTCATGTCACTAAAGCTTCATACTGTCCAGATAAGTTTGTGGTCTGTGTTTATATTTTGATAATTCAAAGTTCTGAGCAGACCTTTCTGTTGAAGACATCTTAGTCATGGAATACATATAAATGAAGTTTATCTTTATGAACTCAGAATACAGATTTAGAACCAAAGGCTCTTGATATAGCCACCAAGGAGCTTATTGTAGTTGCAAGACCAGGAGAAGGTTAGCTGCTTTTTATTAGGGTTCTCATTCAGTCATTCTCATGCAGCTTTCCACTCTATAGGTTGTTACTTAAATACCCTTGATTCTTTGCTCCTGCAGTTGACCAGAAACAACTAGTTCATGCTAAACAGTCAACAAAAGCTCTTATCTTGATGAACTTGGAATCCAGAGTATTTAAAAGAAATCTCTTCCTTTCTTAATTGTTGATTCATAAATTAAGGCAAGGGATTCATACTCTGTAGTGAGATGTTGGTCTTGTTTGTTTACTTGATACATACCACATGCATGCTGCAGATGGTTGCCTTAAAAGATACTGGTAGACAAGTTTTGACATATGGTGAAAGGTATGACTAGAGACATGACTGTTTCTTAGTTGCTTGGCCTTTATTCTTTTTTGATGTTTGGATATGGATTGCAATATTGTTTTATTGCTGCCCACAATAACTTGCTTGCTATTCTGTGAATAAGTAGAATGACCTTTTTCTTCTCCCTTAGGAAACCTGCGGAGCATCTTCTGAAGTTGGCTGAAGTAATTACACTGAAAGATATTTCTTCAATAGCCCAAAAGCTTCTATCATCCCTGCTCACAATGGCATCATATGGAAATGGCATTTCCAAGTCTAAAATATATCTATTATTTTTGTTCTCACCAAAGCTATCTTCTGTCTCTCTACTCCAATGGAATGCCATTATTGATCTCCTTTCTCGTTTTGCTAATATTTTGCAGTTTATTATCTCCTACCCTACGATATAGTTAGCGACAAGTTCAAGTCAAAAATGGGATTGCTTTCTTAAATCAAACTGGACAGTTATTTGACCTAATAGTGTGTTAATAGTGTTCTGCGTCAGCATTTCTTCACAGCAAGAAACGGGTGGAAAATGAGGAGAATGGACATCAGCCTACTTGACAATAAATAGTTCCCAAGAGAACAGCATGAGTTGTAGTAGTTTTCCCATACGATGCACTTCCATGTTTTCAGGTGCACTCCAGGACTCGCTGTTTTGCTTGGAAAAAAAAATAAGAACCTCATTGCACTCCAATTTTACCAATTCTGGATAAGAAAATTGAGCCTCAAATGATCGTTCATTTCATCAACTACCCGTGTTACTTCGATTTTTTCGTATACAACTTCAGGTAGTGCTTTTATAATATATGAATGTCAATAGAATTTTTTTGTATAATGATCAAATGAAATTATTTAACAAGAATTATGTATAGCAAAAAATTTTAAATGGTCAGCCACATGTTCTATGTAAAGTATTACCAAACCTTATGCGCAAAAAGATCAAAATGACAACTATTTGCATTTTGACCATAAACGCTTACCAGTAGATTAATATCCCAGCCGCCTACTTTCTGCAATTTATTTTGTTTGAATTTCTTGTTCTTTTAGTGTCAGGTACTATTGAGTGTCGACTCCCTCTTTTTGTCTTTTACTTTTTTTCCATTTTTTTTAAATCTTGGATTAATCCTCTCTCATTTCTTAATCTAAGTTAATTACATGTGATGTAACTTAAATTTAAGAGTCATAATCATTTACTTTCTTTGGAGGAAGATTACATTGCATTACTTAGGTTACTGGTGAGTGTTGACTTAATTGTTTTGGTTTGTAAAAGATCTTTAAATGGATCTGCAGATTGTTAAGAAAATCTCTGCGAAGATCGTGGGAGGGAGGTGCAAAGTTTAGGATTTCGTATGGGACTCTTCACCAAGCTGGCTGTTCTCTGTCTGTAAGAAATGAAAAACAGGGGGAGCAATTCCAGTTGATCAGTCAACCGGCTGAAAGGTTTTTTTCCTTTTTTTTTTCTTTTTTAAGAATTGGATTCCACCATCAAAAGTCAATTTAAAATTAAATAATTTTATCGATGATCAAATTAGTTCAACAGTAATTTCTTTTGAGTGGAAGTATGAATTCAAGTCGTATGATATATGGGTGAAGTAAATCAAAGAAAGAGATAATGTTACTTCTATTGTACAATTCAAAATAAAAAAAAAAAAACTAAAGTAAATTTTTTATATTCATTATTATTCCTGTGAAAATGTGATTATTGGTCCGGAAACGAAGGTCAAAACAACAAAATTGGTGAAGTGAAACAGAAGCAATAAGGGCCGAAATTAGATAAACCTAACATCTTTTATCGCAGAGTCATAACCAAAATCTCTATCTATTGCATGATCTTTTCCACTTCTTCTTAAACAAATCAAAGTTGCTCAACAGCTACCATCCCTTCCATCTTTTTCCTTTCATTTTTATGATCTTCTTTATTATTTCATTTCGCCCCTTCTCACGGTCAGCTGGTCTTTTATTTTTTCTTTTTTTTTTTAATTTAATTTTTGATTTACGATTATTTTGCACATGTAGTAATCATACTTAAAAACTATTTTATAATCCAAAATATATTGAAATATAAAATATTAACGATTAGATTGAAGAGAGGCTCCTAATAATCTATCTTAAAACAGCAGACTGTAAAACGCTTAACTCTAACCATATGTAGTCAAACATATTTTCCTTGTAGGCAGCACTCATTTCATTCCTTGCTATCTTATTTACGATGCTATTGGTCGGCAAAACCCGCACACTATGCTTCCAGACCCACAATCATGTAGTTGATGGGTGGTAGCTTAAAAGGTTTTCCAACCTCACTACAAGAAAAATGATTTTTAGTGACAGAAATTTGTGATAAATTTTAAAATCATCACTGTAACTTATCACAATTGTTACAAATTAAAAAAATTAGTCACAGATGCATACATATTTAATAATAAACAAAAAAATT